CTGGCTGCAGGCTCGGTGTTGGCAGGGAGGGGGGATTTTGTTTTGGCTGTTGGGAAGGGGTTGGGCAGAGGTGTGGGTCACCGGAGCCCTGTCCAGCAGTGCTGTCACCACGTCACTGCACTGGGGCGAGCACAAATCTGTCACCTTTAATCCGTCACAAAACAGAGGCAACTCAGACATTATAGTTCAGGCATGCAACAGGTCATAGGTAACAAAAAGGATTAGATAGCACTGGATATTAAATAAAGCTCGGTGAGTAAGTAGAAAAAGAAATCACAAAAACAATTGCTGAGGAACACTGTCTGCAGGCTCAGCTCTAGAGCTGGTTGGGTTTTCTCTCGTACAGCAGCAGCAGCCAAATTCACCACAGACAGATCCTGCACCAGGAAGGACATGGGCAGGGGACAGGAGTAAAATCACATTAATGTTTATGCTCAAACCAGGTCTACTCTACCTTCCCTGCGGTAGAGAAAGTGCCTTTAGAGTCAGTGCAGTTAGAAACAACCAACCCCGGTGTTAATAAGGTTCATCAGCAAGTGCACACAAACAGGAGCCAGAACAGAGCTGTGTTCCACTGTTCATTCCAAACGTCTCCACTGCAAACAGGAGCAGGGAAAGGATGGAAAAAGAGTCACTGTACAGAGAGAATGACAGAGTTCAGCAGGTTTTCCTAACAGGTTAATGCCAATCCCAGCTCCGACGCTTTGTAGCACACGTACAGCTTGGCAGGACCGGGGCAGATGGACATGCTGTGTCAGGGCTCTGCCCAGCCCTGACACTCTTCTAGTACTTACAAAAATGCAACTTCCAGCCCGTCCTTCTGGATACAGAACAACACTGATGTGCTCAATGAAGAGAGGTGCTCTTGAGATACAGCAGCTTCCAACACAGCTTTCTCCTACTCTCCTAAAGGTTTGGGAACACAAGCCTCGAGGTGCTTTAAAAAAATGACACTGGCATCAAGTCTGGTACGAAATTAAGAAAAATGCTCATTTTTCCAAGTATATGATATTTAATTGTAACGAAATAAAATCTGAAAAATGTCTAAATCAATTAAAAAGTAAACATGAGCTGTAATACCATACCTGTAAAATGATTAATTCCATTCATTGTCATTAGAAATTATGTAAAATATTTATTAAGGGCTTGGCCTACAGAGGCACAACATAAATAGAGTAAGTCCTGCTGAAATGCGATCCGGTGGCAGCCCCTGCGGGGAGGGCGGCCGAGGCCCCCCCAGGGGACAGGGCTGGTCCCAGCCGGGGGCTCGGCCCCCGCGCTGCCGGAGGGAGGGAGGGAGGGAGGGAGGGTCCCATCCCGGCTCCATCCCGGGCTCCATCGCCGACCCAACTGCTCCCCACGGGCCCTGGGGGTGCCCCGGGGCAGGGCCAGGCTGCAGCAGAACGTGCTTGGAGGGCCACGGGCCACCCGCCTAATCCACCCCTTCGAAGCCCTGGGCGTTCTCCACGGCCATGAGGAGCTTCTCCCGCAGGTCCTCGAAGGACTCATACAGAGGTAAGTCCAGGCGGTTAAAGCTGCAAGGACAAGGGACAGGGTCACTCCAGCACCCAGGGAAAAGCTGACAGGCTTTTCGAGACAGGAGCAAGCCGGGGGGCCTCGGCACAAAGTGTAGCTTGTGGTCCATCCACAGCGTCCCCCGCACGCACCTGCCCTGCTGAGCTCTCCACTAACCACGTGCCGTCTTTAATGGAAGCAGGAATTCGGTAAAAAACACTCCGAAAAGGAAAAAAAAAAATAGCCAACAGAAAGCCCTTCGCTGTATTTGGCTGCTGGAAAAAATGTCATCCTTGTCATCCTTGAGGCTCAGCAAAGATGCTCTGGATTTAGAGGAGAGACCCTCTCTCTCCGAGGGAAAAAGAAGGTTAAACATCCAAGAGAAAGTCTTCCAAAGGTCAAAGTTAACAGACAATTAGAGGGTTCACTCTGGAGTGTGTTGTGTTTGTCGGGTTTTTTTTGTGCTTTTGTTTTTTCTTGTGTTTTGTTTTTTGTTGTTTTCTTTTTTTATTGAAAGATCCCCAAGCCTGTACTGATGTTCTAAAAAATCAGTTTTCCCATTCCACAGTTTTTCTTTGAAAAGCTGCATTCCCAAAATGCCACAGAGCAAGACAGATTTGTACTGAATGCTTTCAACGTTTGCAAATTCTGTCAGCCAGGGTTCTGGAAAGTCACCTTGTGACCTTCTATTTGTTTGGAATTGTCCAACAATTTATGTGGCTGTTGGGGATGTCAGGCTTGCTGTAGTTCCACTTACACCCACTTATTAGGATGGGGAACAATAAAATAATATCCAATTTCTCAGTCTGTGAGGCCAAGAGTGTGTGAGGCTCAGAGTTGAGCAAAGGACCCAGAGCTGAGCACGGTCCCCAGAGTGGCCCTTTGGTGACTTACCAGGTGTGAGCTCGGGGCAGCTTGTCAGGAGTTCCCCACTGCTCTATTGTAAACAGCTGAGGACCATTTGAACCTGGGTGAAAATGAAAACCACATGAAATAGAAATTGTTGGACACCACAGAAACTACCTCAACGTTATTTTTAACATGAAATCTTGGCATCAGTTGCGGGCTGGATTTTTCACCTCTTACAGATACAGTTAAAGCAACAGAGATGTGGTTCTTTCTTTCTGAGCTTGTTTGAGTGTCATGCAAAGGAAGTAAACTCAGACACTAATATTTCACGGCAGGATTTCTGTCCTGCCACGAGCAGCTCACCGTAAAGTTCAGCAAATCCATTCATAGGCACTCGAGACGTCCCGGTCACAAACTGCAGGAGCCGGATCCGCTTCTCGGCATCCATCAGCAGAACAGCCTGTTGGCAAACAAACACACACTGTCAGGCCTGGCTTTGGAGCCCAGCTTTGAAGGGCAGGATAAAGAACAGACCAGAACCAGGATGGATAACCAATTTGTAGAGGAAACCCCTCTGGTGCTCCCCCTGCTGTTCCCATGGGAGGTGGGAGCAGGCACAACACCCCATTCTCAGCGGTCTTCATGAAGAAAAACAATTGCAAACCAGGGCAGTAACTTTCATTTTTAGGAGCCAGTATTACCTTCCAGAACCACTGGATAACGGGGTGATTGGGGCAGTAGCCGTTTTTGTAGATGGTGTGTTGTCTCCAGTCATTGACATCGACATCCCCAAGGCCACACATCAGCAGCTGCAGGGAAGCAAAGCATGGGGGTGTTAGGGAGGGTTTGTGTCACTGCACAGTCTCACTCCTGCTCTGGGCTCTGACCTGCAGGCATTTATGGGAACACCAGAGAGCTGGAGCTTCCCTCGAGGAATTCCCAGGGTGATCACACGTCATGAACAGATTAATTAATTAGGGAGAAACATCTCATTTCCCACTCTGAGCAAGGCAGCTTTGTCTGCACAACCCCTCAGGGAGAGTGAGGGGCGGCTGAGGAGCCCAGAGCATGGCACATCTGTCTGAGAGCTGTCTGCTCTGGGCACCAAACTGACTCACCTCCAGCTCGTTCTCATCAAAAATTTTAATCAGGTCAATAGGGAGCAGTTCTGTGAATCCCTACGAAGAAGCAAAGCAAAGTTAACATTCTCACCCCACGTAAATCCTCATAAAAAAAAATCAATGACCAAATTACTTCAAGCTCAAATAATTTCAGCTTGAAAGAGAGTGACCTTACTCTCCTAAGGGAAAGATGATACATTCTCAGACAAGGGCAAACTGTCAAATCATAAACCACAAGCATGCCATTGGCACTCCCAGCCGAGCTCCCCGCTCCCTCCACACACACCCCCACCTTGGGTAAGAATCTGCATCAGAAAAAGAACTCAGCTTTGTGAGAGCAAGCTCACCTCCAGAAAGGCATTCATTTGTTTCTGCACCCTGTTGACAAACCGCCACTGGATGACCAGGCTGCAGAGAGAAAGAAAACCCCCTCAGAAAATGTAAATAAAGCAGGAGATGAATAAAACTGCATCATCAAAGGCTTTGCTTTCAGTGCCAGCCACCCACAGCACAAAGAGCTTGCAGGCCCAGGCATAAAAAAAAAATCAATTCCAGCCATGGAATTGATGCAGGTCCAGGCATTGGAAAGGAATTCTTAATTTGCAGGACTCTAGAAATTTTAATGTCTTTCACCCTGAAAGAGCCCCTGGTTAAAAATGCCAGCAGGTCTAGTTGAATTTTAGTATTTTACATCCTGGTAGGTGGAAAAACTGAGAAAGTTGAGAATGAAACCTCATTTCAGATTTGGCCAATTTCCGGTAGGAACACTGGCACTGGCCTGGTCTGTGACTGGCACAAGAGGACAGTGGGATGAGGGCCAGGCTGGAGAGCACCTTCTGGATCATCTGAGCTCGAGCCAGATGTTGGAGAGACACATTTCCTAAGGGGGAGGTTCAGGAAAACCAAGCACGTAATTTAATGTGCTCAGTTTTTGTTCTGATATCTGATTAGATAAAAACAATGTTAGCAGGAAGGTTCTCTCTCCCAAGGATCCCTGATGTTCTGGTGCAGTACAAACCACAGGAACTGCAGCAGGGTCAACTTACACCTCAGGACACATTCCAAAAGGATACTTACTCGATGTATTCCCGCTTGTTTTCATTCGTTACCATGATTTCAGACCCATTGGGCTTCAGGTCCACTTGATATGTCTGCATTTCAAAGGAGCAAAAAAAACCTGTTAATTGAGGCCTCATTTCTTGCACAACCCACTCTGCCCAAGCAGCATTTTACAAGCAGTACCAGGAAATTATCAGTAAATGGATTTACACTTCTGAGTCAGAGAACACACTCGTGTCAGCAGAAGGGAAAACTGGCAGAGACAGGCTGGCAATAATTTGGAGCAAAATCCCTGGTGGAAATTGCCAACAACCAGCTAGTGCCGTCCAAACCTCCCCAGCCTGTGGCTTCAGTATTCTCCCTGGTTCTCCATGTAACTCATGACCTTATGTTATAACCTCCAGAAAAATGGCACTGAGCACTGACAGGACTTTCTGGGCACGGTTTGAAATGCTGAAGTCAGTTGTTAAAAAAAAAGGCCCTGTGGTCCCACCACCAGTCACACCTGGAGCCAGAATCCAGGTCTAAGAGATTAACAAAGGGAAGATGTGAAAAAAAAAAAGTATCCAAGCAAATTGTTATTTGTAATGGAGAAAGGCACCCACAACTGCGAGCCTTTTAAACCTGGCAGCTTCCCTGCCTCTGAGACAGGCACTGCAGAGAGCCCCTCACTGTGTCACTGTGCCACCCTCCTCTGAGATCACCCTCAGCCTCAGACACTGCTCAGTCCTGGCAACAACCAACCCTGAGATGTAAATCACCTTCCACACACCTGTCCAAAGTTTTCCTCATCTATGCAAAACATGAGATCCAGCTCGGTGGGGTCATTTTCCAGGATCCACTTCAGGGAGTTGTAGTATTCGCTGTCCTGGGGCAGAGCACAACGAAACAAGAGTTTGAAAATGGGCACGTTGGGTCAGAGCTCTGGAAACCCACGGGGCTGCCAAGGCTGGCACGGGCTAAACGTGTCTTTCTTACCACTGACTCCATGTCTTTCAGAGTTATCGGCTTCCCCAGCATCATCTTGTAGAAAGGTCTGATGAAGAAGCCTGGAAGAGAGAGAGGAGCGTTACCTGCCCTGCTCTGCACCTGCAGCTTCCATAAAGGTAGAACTGTTGGAGATTACACCTGGCATTTCCTGTTACCAGCTGGAACTGCTCACAGCATCACAGCAGCTCCCTTTTGTTTCGGCACAGCAAGCCCAATTTTTCCACATCAACAATTATGCCACTAATTACCACTTTCCACTAACGGCACAGAGACCCAAAAGCTGGGCAATTATGCTCAGGGCACTCTATCCCATTTAAAATTCCCACTCTTCTCTCAAAGGAGCTACCAGAAAACCAGACTGGTGAACTACTGATCTGGTCAGTAATATCTGTTTAATTGGTGTGGCATTTCAAAATTCAGCAGAAATCGTATTTTCTCATTAATTCTTTCAGTAACAATTTTATCAAAACACACTGCAGTTGACCTCCCTGAATGTAAATTCTGCATCCCCACTCAGCTTCCAGCAGTGCCAGTCCTTTCTCTCAGGGTAGGGGGGCACTCACCGTCCAGCAGCTTCCCGTGGTACACGGCCAGCCCGGCCACCCGGCCGATGAACGTGAAGTACGACAGGTGGTCTTCGTTACAGAGACCTGAATTAGGATTAATCTGAAGTGTGTAGTTGTCCCTTTTTTGGGGAAAGAAAAAAAACAGCTAAAGAACCAAGTCTGGAAATAACCAGGTACTCAGATACGTAAATAAATGAGTCGTGCTTAGGTCATTTCCCTCCAACAGCACCCGGGTCTTTGCCAGACGCTCCCGCTGCAGCCTCTGCACATCCCCTTTCCAGCCTGTTCAACACCCACTGGGCAGGCTGAGCCTGGTGCTGGCACCACCAAACCCTTTCCAGCCTGTTCAACACCCACTGGGCAGGCTGAGCCTGGTGCTGGCACCACCAAACCCTTTCCAGCCTGTTCAACACCCACTGGACGGGCTGAGCCTGGTGCTGGCACCACCAAACCCTTTCCAGCCTGTTCAACACCCACTGGGCAGGCTGAGCCTGGTGCTGGCACCACCAAACCCTGTGGGTTCACACCCAGCCCTGTAACCCAAACCCACTCCCTCCTGAACTGACAGATTGCTCCAGGATTTGAACGCTGGACAGCCCCCAGTTTGTGCAGGGCACTGCACTTTTGCTGCCCTGGATCTTGTCTGAGCAATGGAAATGTTTGCTGGGCTGGCAAGGACGATGCCCAAGGCTCTCTGAGAAGGGAACAGGGTGGTGGGGCTGCCCAGGACACCCTGGGAAGGAGGAGCTGACTCTGCCCAAAGCAACTCTGTCTCTTATGCAAAAGTTAACACATGGCAACAGGAATATTTAGTGGGTACTTACGTGGCTGAGTATTCAAAGAGACCATAGTAAGGGTTAAACATCTCCTTGGACAAGAGAAAAAACCACTCTCTGGCCACACCTCCATAGTCAAGCCCCTTTTCTGACTCAAATTCAATCCAGAGCCTGGCTTTTAGTACATCAGGTCTCTTCACGGACATGATTCTTCTGTAGGACTCCTCAAAAATATTATTTCTGTGTAGTTTCATCTCAAATCTGTTGGGTATATCAGCCTGTGTCGAAGAAGATTAGATTACACTTGTGAGTCTCAAGAAGAAAATCTTTGGGTGAATTCTTAACAGTGGTAACAACTCAATAACAGATCAGACAAAGGGTGTTCGAGTTCCCCTTGGTTTTGCTTCCCAGTGTTGGGAGCATGGGGGGAACTGGGTCAGTTCCAGTACAGTACTGGAGATTTCTATGATAAATATTGGATGAAAACAACAAGAAAAGTAACAAACAAACAAAAAAAACCCAGAGAAAAGGAGTGATATTTTAAGGGCATTTGAATTTATCTAGAAAAATGTGTCTTGAAGACTTAGAAATAATTTTTGTTGAGAAATTAATCTTCCTGGGTTTGATTCCTATGTGGGCCCACATGGAGCTACTCACGGGTTTCTTTAACTTCTTCCGGAAATAATCATATTTCTGCTTGAACTCCCGGGAATATGGAACTGCCTGGCGGGAGAGGAGCGGGAGGACATGTTATTCCAGCTGCTCAGCACCTGGATATCCGACAGCATTCTGCCCTGCTACCCACAGGTGTGTGTGCCGTGGGCTCCCCTACACCCACCCTGCACCGGCAACAGCAGCCAGGAGAGATGTAAACACCCCACAAACCCACATCATTTTTCCATGGAAAATCCCACAGCAGCACTTACTGGGCCCGTGATGGCCGGGTTCTGCAGCCTGGGGTCTTCCCACTGGGTAATCTTATTATCTGCAAATGACAAAGAAACGATCCCGTGACTCCTCCGGTGCCGCGGATCCAAATCCAAATTCCTGTTGGATTCTTCTCCCTCTGAGCTCTGCACAGCTCGGTCTGGCAGGGTTAGCCAAGGCTGTGTCCCCCACCTGCACTGTTCAGCTGCAAACACTCAACTCAAAAGGCAGAACTACCCCCCAGAGCCAGGGGACTTGCACTGCTTTGACGGCAACGTCTGCAGGAGTGAAAGTGTTCACTTGAACGTGGGCTGGGATTGGAGATACACGGCCTGGCAGGCAAAGAACTCCAAATCTCTGTCCAGTGACACACTAAGTTACTGTTTGGAAAAGCAGCCAAAATGTCAGACTTGAAAATTTGGAGGGAATAGCGTTTTTCCTAGGCTCTGATTTAATGAGAAGATCACAGGACCATTGAGAGAGACAGAACTGTCCGGTTATGGTACAAGAGATCATCCAGCTGTGACCAAAGGAGATGCTGGCAGTGGCACAACACAGCCCAGTTCTTTCCAGCTGCAGCTTTGAAGAGCATCAGGAGGGTGGACAGGAAGGTTCTACAGGACCATGGTGGAACTCTCCCTTCCCTGCCTCCAGACAGCTGATCCTCCCAAGATTCTGAACACAACGGAATCACAACAGAACGATGGGGTTGCAACAATAAGACAACGCTCCAAACCCAAACCCAGGTGCCCCTGCACCAGTCACCCCCCTGCCTGTGCTCACTCCCTGTTTGCTGCAGACACTGCACTGGGTTAGGAACTCGGGGTTAGGAGTTAAGGTTGTGTTTTCCACGTTTCTAGAGCTGGAAAAGCCCTGTAAATTTTGAGCATCCCAAGCTGGTTTAAGAGGGAAGGACTGGGATCTGAAAGGTGACAGTCAGCAAATGTTAACTGGGGAAAATTCAGAAGGACTGCAAGCACATTTCAAGACATTTGTTCTATTAGTTAATTTAATATTAAAATACTGTCTGATTTCCCTTTACACATTAAAGCTATTTATCACTGCTGGAAATGCTGGGAAGCTGTCAGCCCGAGCTCCAGAGACCCCAGAGACGCTTGGAGCAACGATGCCCAGCCCTGCCCTTCCCACCTGGCCTCAAGCCCTTCACTGGAATTCCCTTCTAGCTGAGTTCTCCAGTTTGATACCAAATCACTTCTTACACCTGCTTGCCACTGGCAGCCACAAATCACGGTGACAATTTCCTGTGAATCAGAGAAACAACTGAGACGTGTCAGCTCTTGGCTCTCCACGCTCCAGGGTGTGCAGTGCCACTGACAAACCTCTGCCTAAGTTTCTTCTCAAAGTCCTACAGGGACTTCATTTTACAAACGGTAAAAGCACACAAAGGGTGTGGCACGAACCACTCTACCTGGAATTGCAGCTCAGGATTCTCTGTCTTGTCCCAGGTGGATGTGGGTGACAAACTCATTCCTCTCCCAGCACCTTTTTGAAAATCCAGCACCTCCCTTGAGTCTTCCCACAACACAGTGCTCTGTCTTTGCTCCTAAACCAGGCTCTCAGGCCTTGGAGGATTCCCTCTCCTCCCTCCCTTCCCAAGGGTCCCACTGTTTCCCCGAAGCTGGGAGCCCCTGCCGGACACAGAACAACCACAGCCACACGTTGCCAGCGCTGATGGCGCTGCAGGTCGCATTCAGGACGCTCCTGCTGATACATCACAGGATGAGGTAACTGCAGATGGCTGGGGAAGGGCTGTTTCCCCTCCTATCCCTTCCAGCAGGAAGGTGGTTGTTCCTGGGAAGGACAGCAGCAGCATGTGCAGGCTGCAGTGAACAGGGACCACCAGCTCCTGCGTGGGAGGGAGTTACTGTCACACACAGACCGGTACCAGTAACACCCTCTGCTGCACCATTACTGGTGTTACTGCACAATTTACCAGCAGAGGGGCTGGCAGGGAACTTCTGCAGTTTCTGCCAGGGCTGAGAAAAACCTTTCAAAACTAGGACGAACGGCGTCAGAGAACTAAACTATGCAGCAGAGCTCTAAAATGCACCAGCTGAATCTGTCAGCACCTGCCCTGTTAATGTGTCCTGGCAATGCCCTCCAGCCCACCTGCCGTGGCACCACCGAGCCATCAGGCTGGGACCGAAGGCACATCGGCTGGAAACGAGCAGCGTTACCACAAACTTCCCAAAACTTCCGTGAAAACTGCCATGTCAAAAAGCTAAACCCACTCAGATCCAAAGAGACTGGAGAGAACTCAGATGCAAATACATTTTGCTTCCTAACAGTTCTAAATCCTTTGGAGAGTTCTAATTAATGTACCGCTTTAACATTCTGGTTTAGGGATTAACACATGCTCAAACAGCTTTGGTGACTGAAAAATTCAAACTTTTTAAGAGAGATGGGGAGGCTCAGCAGTTACCCAAGTGTTTGAAAGGGGGCAGTTTTATCCTGTGACTCCTGAGTGGCAGCAGTTTGGAATCATTCGCCACAGTTACATTTCCAGACCTCTGCTGGGGGAAACAATTTACAGAAGAGAGAAAGGCTAATAAAAGATGATCATCTGCTGCTTGGTGAGTGGATTACTTCTAATGTTTAGTTGAAATTATTTACACTGTTGGAAAACCGGTATTACCTTAATAATAATGACTTAATAGTGTCATCTCTCTAGGTGAGCTTGGGAGTCTGTTAATCAGACTGAGGGACAAACCTGATTGTGTCACACACAGGGAACAGCTTAGATTTCAACCTCTCTGTACCCTCCTCTGAGGGAGTTATGTGAGGTGGCTGTGGCTGTGAAGAAATATCTCATGATGAGTCTTGAAGTTTAAAAAAAGAAAAAAACATCAAAAACAGCAAGAAGAAGACCCAGCCCAGCCTTTGTGGGTTGCTTTGTGTCCAAACACCAACAAAACTCACACAGCAGTTCTGAGATGCTCTTAGGAAGACAGGTCTACAATGAAACATCACTTGCACTAGAACTCCACTAACAGAACTGGAGGATATTAATGGGCTGGTGCAGTTTCACATGCTCTAAATAGGAAATAAGATCAGAATCAGCACTGCCACAAACCTTCTGAAAGCAGAGCAAAGTACTTCTCAGTGCTAATTGCTCCACTGCCCATACGTGGAGCTGTGGCTACGGGATCTCTTCTCATCTTATTTTCTATTCCTAGTGTGTTTTTTAATTTATTAAGTGCAAAATAAGCCATGGGATCATCAACAACAACGACGACGAATCCAAAATATCAACGAGAACGAAAGGAACCACAGAGAGGAAATGTTAATGCTTCACAAGTCAGAGAGGGACAAAGCTTGATGAGCCAATTAAAGCAAGCTTCCAGTGAATGTACAGTACCGTAGGAGGGCACTAAGTCTCTGGTATCAATGTCTCCACATATCAACACCTGGCTTCCTAAATGAAGAGTAAAATCACAAAGCTTTCACTTCAATCCTCGGTACCTCCCTCTGGGTGTTTGCTCTAGTTTGCCTGAGTGCTTACTTACTATGGTCTATATAAAACGTCCTTCCATCCAGGTGTATTCTTTCCTCCCAGCCAGGCTGGAAATGGGAAATAAAAACAAAGAAAAGAGAGAAATAAGTAAATAGTGCCAGTGTCACACAGCACTATGCATTGCCCACCTCCTGCAACTGTCAGAGATGCCACAAAGCCACAAATGCAGGCACACTCAGACCTGGGTAATTAGACAGGTGACTGCATCTCACACAGGGAATTGGTTTTTTAAAGCTTGCAAGTGGAAACCTCTTGCCACGGGACTGACACCCATTTCCTGCTGTGGGCAAACAATCACAGGGAACAGATGGTCCATCGTGGCTTAGCTCGAGAGTTTCTGCTCCTACTTCTGAAAGCCACTGTAAATGTGTAACCCAGGAATGTCCTAAGCTGGTCCTCAGGGCTTCCCTTTTTATCTATTCCCCTTGCTCATCTCCCAGGAGACTGCAGTGCAGACAGGAGGAGGGATGGCTGGTGCTGGGACAGGCAATGCTGGCCAGCCTGGACTTCCATAAAATACAGAGGAGAAATTATTTCACCGTAATCTTTTTTGAGAAATCCTTGTTAAATTCTGTAGTCAGAAACTCCAGTTAAATTCTGAGGTGAAAGCGGTTACTAATTATCTATTTCCCTGCAGGTCCCACCTCCTGCAGTTAACACAACAAATGTAACTGGCCCTGCAGTGTCTCCACGGTTCCCTGAACCTCTGCAGGAGCACAGCTACTCCCACAGCTGTTTCCTAAAGCCAAAGGGCAGCCCTGCTCTGTGCCCAGTGCCAGGGGCAGGGACAGGGAAGAGCCCAGGACCGCGGGGGTAGGACACAACACAGGCACAGGGTCACTTACAGGAAGAGGGCCCAGGTCGTTGGGGTTCAGAGATGCTTTGGATCTCAAATGCACGGGGAACTTCAGCCGTGGATCCTCCTGGAACACAAACGTGGAACTGAAAATCCAACGGATCAAGGCAGATCTACAAACTCAGCACAGAGTTACCTGGAAATCCTCCTACACTACAGTTACTCTTTTATTTTTGGGGAATAAACCAAAATGCCTTATTAGGATTCCTACACTACAATGAATTTTTCAGGGTTAAATTTAGGGGGATGTAAGACCTGACTCCATTGTGTGGCATGTCAACCCACAGCCTTCAGCACTCCTTAAGCTGCCTGCACTCCGTAAGGGCTCTTACAAACAAAGACAAGGCGAGTGCCACCCTAAGAGGGGGTGTGCAGGCAGGAAAACAGGCAGCAGCATTTCCCAGCAGGGTCCCCGGTGCCAGAGCGGTGGGGACAGCCCTTACCCAGGTGGTGGTCTTGGTGTTGTGGTCGATGAAGAAGGGGCGGCCGTTGGGGGCGATGCGCATCTCCCAGCCCGGGGGCAGGAAGCTCTGAGCCCCCTTGTGCTGGGGCTTGGGCGAGTTGTAGGGGGATGGCTGTGGGGACTGCGGGTTGGAGAGGGTGTCCTTCACCGCCCGGCGCACCGGAGAGTCCTTCATGCCCTGCGGAGCAGGAAACACCGACACTGCTCAGCCAAACACACCCAGCTAAAAAGGCCAACAGGAGCTGCAGGGCCAGCAGCCAGCAGCGTGCTCACCTCCAGCGGGGCCGACAGGGTGACGGTGGGGGAGCTGAGGCTGCGGGGCCGCCGGATCTGCGGCTCGCTCAGGTGGTTGCTGCTGCTGCTGCTGCTGCCCGGTGCCACCATCCCGTCCTCGGCCAGCTGAGGGGGCAAAGGCAAGTCACAAAGGGCACAAACACCGAGCAGCCACAGGCAGGGCGCTTCGAACACGAGGGTGGTGCTCATTATCATCAGGATGATTGTCCTTAAACATTCTTTCCTAGAGATAAGTATTTCATGTAATTCTGTTGGAAGGGCCAGTAACTCGTGGTTCTATTAATGGATCAGGCCAATTTCAAATTCAATTCTAAGAACACATTTTAGCAGTTTCCTCTGCATCTCTCTGGAAATGCCTCCCCTTGCAGCAACCAGCTTGATCTGTGCCTTAACACAGGTACAAGAAAAACCATCCCAATCGCTGCAATTATGATTCACCTGAGCTGTCATGACAACACTTGGGCTTTTTCCCTTGAATTTCAGAGCTGTGGAAGCCAGCTGAGGTCACCCTGAGCCCCGTGCCTGCAGGGGGGTACCTACCTGCATGATGGGCCGTGTCCACGTGGTGGTGCGGTTGTTGTGGTTGACGTAGTAGGTGCGGCCCTTGGCGTCCTTGCGCTCCTCCCAGCCCGAGGGCAGCCCCGGCGTGGTGTGCACGTAGGCCACGGAGGGCTGCTCGGGCAAGAAAACACCGGCTTCTTATTTTAGATCCTTTGACTATTTACATTACTGCTTTAAACCAGCTACAAATAGTTCAAAGTCTGTTGCCTTCTAACAAAAGCGACTCGTTAACTCACACCACTCCTAATCACAACAAGCACGTGGAAAAATCTGCTTTCTGATTTCACTGAATGCAAGCTCTTTGAGTCAAATTATTTTTTCGCCCAAGAGATCTTTTGGATCAGTCTGCCACAGATTCAGGTATCTTGTTCAGCAAACAGCCCAGCTTAGGTGCCCTCAAACTTTTTAATTCACAGGTTACACAGTGACAAAAAGGAACTCTGTGTTTTAACGAGTTTTGCTTAGAAAGCTGGATTTTTTTTTTCCTTTTATCAGTAAGGATAAGTAAGAGTTAAATAACCCTGCAGCTGAGATCTCCCAAGCCCTATTTTCTTCTTTACCACAGGGTGTCTTGAATCGCTTGCCAGAAACTCCTGTGGGTTTAGAAACAGCAGCTAAACTGTTTTGCTGTGTCACAAATGCTGCACACTCAGGGTTTGGTGTCCTGAGGACAGGCAGGGCTGACACAACGAGCTGGAGAATCAAGGAAATAAAGGAGAGAAGACACTGGATGGGTCAGTGAGCTGACATACCCAACAGCAAATGGAAAACAGAGGGAAACAGAGGAGGAAATTAAGTACAAACTCTGAGACTGATTTCTTTCTTTCCTAAAGAGCCAAGGGCAAACCTCAGGTGCCCAAAGACCCAAAGGAATGGAGCCTTTGAAGATAAAACTTTTGGATTTAGACAGTGAATCCAGCTTAAGTCCCAATTCCTGCACAGATCTGGGGCTCTGAGTGTAAGTGCTGAAGGAAGACAAGGGGGAGATCAGTGAGGGGCAGCACAATGAGGTAAAACATCTGTGATGCAGCTGCAGTAATGATGGGTCAGGGATGTTGGAACTCAGTTTTTTGCAGAAAAATACTCATATTTTGCTCTAAAATGTCTAACCAAGACCAGATCCCCTGCCAAAAGAGCACCTCTGCACTGCAGGTCAATCTAGCACAATTAACCACCCATGAATGACTCAGGCACTTTATTTAGGCATTTGCTATTTCCACGTGTGCTCCACTGGTTCTAAAATTCAACAGCCAGTCAGTAGAGACAGTATTACAGAATGATGCATCAGCGCCCAAATTAAGACTTATTTATATCCCAGACACAAACAGCAAACATACCAAGTTTAAATTAAATTTTTTTTCCCCTGAAACAATGATCTAGGAGGGCACAAATTCATAGCAGTTATTAATGATGGCTACTAGAAATGATTTCCATGAAATAAGTCGCTTCAGACTGACAGTTAATCAGGTTAAAGAATGGGATGTGAAGAAAAAAAATCCTCCCTGCACAAGACCTAAATGTCCCCCCATTTTCTTTCGAGGTAGTGCTTGATAAAGAGTTTTATTACCGTTGGCTCCTCTCCACCTGAGACAGTTGAAGAACGAGCTCTCCTAGAGGGACCGCTCTGCTGTTAAATGATAATGAATGATACACATATTTACTGAGGAGGGTCACGGGTTACTGCCACATCTTTAGGAGCAGGGAATCACAGACAATCACATTTATTAAGAGAGAGAGATTCGAGAGAAAAAAATCTTTAAGATAACAGCAGAAGTAAAAGGCACCAATCACTGGTAACCAAGTCAGAATCTCTAAGTGCTGCATTCAGGAAGAAAGAATGTGCTTAGCTGCCAGAAGAGAACTGATCATTGGCCCAAGAAGGATTAAATCTGGTTAAGATCAGGCAAGATGTTTTAAGAGCAGCGCTCTCAGTGCTGCTGGCTTGAACATCTGAGTGTCCCACGGGACTGCCCTGGGACCCAGCCCAGGAGAGGGAGGAGGCAGATCAATTCACCCAAGAGGAAACCTCAGAGCTTCCTGTAAACGTCTGCCCGAGAGCAACAGAGAGAACCAGCAGAGGAGCGACAGCAGCTTCAGCAACAAACTTATTGATGTACTACACATACTCAGTATTGCAGTAAAAAATACGCACAGATTTTCTACTTGTAGATTCACACGTGACAGATTTCTAATACAAAATAGGAGAAAAAATCCTGGAACTATAATGTTTTAAAATATTCTTCTGCCATCTGACCGGTTTTATTCAAAAGCACATCCTTCCTGTCAGCTGCACCAAAGGTGTGCTTGGTGCTGATGGGAGAGAGAAGCTTTGTTTACAAACCATCTCTGTATCTTCTCCTGTTTGAAGAATCTCCTTCCCTAAGTCTCTCAGAGTCAAGAACTGCAATTCTATCCAGGTCTGTCGTACCATGACTACCCCAAAAAGCCTCCTTTTCACTGCAACCAGGCAAAGGACCAATCCCTTCTGGCTGTTAGACAGATCTAGATATTGCAAGTAAAATCAATTTACGGGCCACAGGCATACACCTGCTAGGAGAGTCCTGCGGCTGCTCCAGCTCCAGGCAGAGCTGGTGCTCCTGTCCTCTCCTCCCCCAGCTGGGAACACCCCTAGGAGGAGTTTCCCTCCTCACTGACTGCATATAAGAGCGCAGTAACCTAAATTTCCACGTGAGATAACTGTGCTCAGACTCCCAAGGTTTTTCTCCCTCAGGAATGTCCCCGTTAGAGCTGCTGGCCAGGCCCACGTGAATTTGGTGGACAGTCAGATGCTCACACTGGTCACTGATCTGATCCAAGGAAAGGTGTTGTTCGCAATCAGAGGATGCCCAAGCAGAAAGGAAGAACTCCAGGGGAGCTCTGGCTTACCAGGGATAACTGTGACTGCTCAGCCACTGTGTCTGTCACGCTGCACGACCTCAGCCTCGAAGAAGGTTCTCTTTGCTGCAAGAAAAACAAAAGAGAGATGTCTATGAGTTAATGTGTCTAAAAACGTGCAGGTTATTCAGTAATTTCGGTAAATTCACTAATTACAGGCACTAACCTCTTTGGAACATAATCTCCTTAAACAATCATTATCTAATGGTAAATACCATTTCTCTGCTGACAGTGACCCTTCATATATAACACCAAAAAAAGAGCTAATTCATTCTAACGAAGGAGAAATGTCAACATAAACAAATTCGTGGATTATTGACCAAAATAAGGCATTAGGAAGTAAAAAAAAATTTAGTCTTAATTTTTCTCTTTGCCTTTTAATTCTTGAACTTCCCAAGACACAAAGAAGCAGCACCAAATGTGATTATGAAATCTGTTGTTTGAGGTGGTTTGTTCTACCTGCACTGTGAGGCGTTTTTGGAAGGTAATGCCAACTGTATGCTCAGGATTTCCTCCCCATGAGTCCAAGCGCCTCAGGTTACCCCAGATAACAGCCCATTTGAGCAGCAGGGGTTCCCAGGAAGAGCAGCACGTTACGTACGATCAAAGAGCCGAGCTGTTCCCCGTTGGAGTCGGGAGTGACCTGGAGTCTCCTGCTCAGCTCCTCAGACAGCTCCTGAGGACTGCTCCGGGACACTGGGGATGCAGGAGGGGGTGGCAGTGACAAGCTTAAGGAATCTCCACTGGCACTTGCCTCCTCTGAGATGGTTTCCCAAGGCTAAGAAAACAGAAGAAACTAAGTTAGGGATTAATACAGACCGAGCCTTTCATGTGAGGAACAACCAAACAGCAGCTTCTCTTTGCCCTAAATTAAAGCACCACGGAAAACTGAAGCACATGGCAGTTCCAGCCAGTCCAACTCCCTTCTTTTTACGATTTATTCCACTTGTTCAAAAGGCCAGAGTGGCACCCACCTCGGGAATGTCCCCGCTCTCCGTGGGCTCTGGCTCCAGGTCCTCGCTGATGTGCCTCCGAGAGCGGAAGCGCCGGTGTGCAGCCTCCTGGTTTATCTGCCTGATGTTGTTGTCAGAGTCTGAGCCCACATCGCTGCAGGGTGGGGAGGAAAGAACACGAAAACAACCCAAATTAAACTAAACCCAGACTTTGCTCATTGCCTTCAAAACCTTGGTAATGCTTCTGGTGACAAAAATCATTATTTGTGAATATGTCAGGTCTCATAATTAGGAGACCATTTGATCCCTCAATCCTAAGTAAATAAAATTGGCAGCACTTCCCAAATGTCTCAGAAGATGTAACACCAGGTTGGGAAGGGCCTTAGCACATCCAGGGAATGCAGCCTTTACACTGAGGAATAAAACCAGGATCTCCTCCAAGCCAATCTGTTCAACCTCATTAAAACTTTGAACAGAGCTGACTTTTTTCCTTACCTTTTCAGCAGCCTCTATAGAACAAAGTAATTTATTCCTGTTAAATTACTAACTGAAAAATCCCCCATCTGTCTCCCCGTGTTCTTAAGGTACATTGTTTAAGGCACTGACTTCCCTCCCACTCCTGCAGATTTCCTGGAGCTACCCAGAATATCCGCGTGTCTCTGCGATTTGCTGGGGGTGGGGGAATCTTCCAAGCATAAAAGGACGGTTTCTGATGAAGGTCCCCAGGAGTTCCCCCCCTCCCTGCCCTGGGCTGCTCACATGAGGCTCGGCCGGTGCCACTGGGTGGTCCTGTTGTTGTGGTTGACGTAGTAAGTCCGTCCCAAGTTGTCCACCTTCTCTTCCCATCCAGGAGGCAGCGGAGGAGGCGGCAGCTCCTCCTGCCGTTGAGACGCAGAGTCACTGGAATCAACCACATCCCAGCCATGCTTAGGAATGAAGGGAAAAAAAACTCCTTTCAATGGGTGCTCACCTCAATTCCATGAGAAAGGAACTCCAACCCCCTCTTGTCTATCAAAGAAGGATTCCCAAAGGTGTTATCCTGGTGGCTCCAAAGAGAACCAACTGCTCCCAGGCCTTCAGCCTTACCTCGGAGTCGTCCCTTTGATCACTGTTCTCCTCCTCCTGGCCACCGTTTTTAGGCATGTAAGCCATCTTCAGCCTCAGGAAACCCTTCACACGAGACTTGTGGCTGGAAGACAAGGAGGTACGTTCCATTTACCAAGCCTCCAATAAAAAAACGCATCAGGAAGAAATCTCCTCAGGCACACAGGGCCTTCCCCTCACCTTCTTGGTCTGAGGAGGAAATCCTTAAATGTGTACGGCCTCTCCATGGTCGGGTCTTCAGTCTGGGAGCAGGGGAGAAAACGGTAAATTAAAGGGCACGTAAAGAACATTCACAGACAGATTACATCACTGATTTCCATCCAACTCTAAGTTTCATAAAGCTAGGATCTTGAAAACTTCCCATTCCACAAGGGTTTCAGCTTCCTTACAACTTATTATTTAGATCGTGTCTGTGCTTACAGATGTGTAAATGGAGATATCCACACCAGCACAGATAAAACAACCCTGCACTACACAGTTCAGATGGCACGAGCTCCCAGCAGAATGGAAGGAGGCATTTTCCATCAGAACGTGTTCCTGATCATTCCATCAGAGTCTGCAACTATTACAACCCCAGAATTACGACTCCAGATCCACCACAACACGGAGATCTAAACAAACATCCCTGCAAGTCACTACAAAGCCATTTTCCTCCTACAATAACATCCATCAACAGCAAGAAGCCAAATTCAGACACGGAGAGCAAACTAGGCTAAACTGACACCTTATTTGGATGTAAACACCTGCAATAACTTCACCCATTCGCACCTAAAAAACCCTGCAAGGTCACAGAGCTAAGATCAACATGTACAACATTAAAAACACTAACTATATACAGCCTGTGTTAGTCACCCAAACCAGCACATAATATCAGAAATGTTTGTACCAAGGCTAAAACAATCACTGCATATACACACGTATATATTTACTTCTATTTATATACATATAGAAACAGAAATTGCACTTAAATTAGGCTGTCATTTTGTGGCCCATGCAGAATCCTGGCTGCTGCAAGGAAAGCAGGCACCTGGAGCTTCAGGGAATTACAGAGCCAGCTTTACACTGAATCCCTCAATTTATTAAGAAACAGAAGCAAACAAACATTACCTCGATAATCTAACTGTTGACATAAAATGATTCAAACCCTGTGTCCATTACTTTTAATTACTTGCTCTTAGAACTCTTCCTGCTAGCAGAGAACTCAATTTTGAGCTCAAATAATGAAAAGATGCCACAGCAAATCTGTCCACAAAAGGTGCATCCCTTCCATGCACAGCTGTTCCTCGCTGGGGGAGGTTTGGTTCTCCAGAACCTTTTCCTCCGAGCCTCCTGCTGTGCTGGGAGCACCAGCTTTAGGAGATTTTGGCTGGATTGTGCATGGAAATGGTTGTCCATCCCCAGGCAGAAGGGCCAGGGGCTCTGCTTACCGGGAGGTGACTGAGCGGCACATCCACCTGGCCCAGGAAGTCGTCTCTGGTCTGGTCACACAGGAGAGAAATAAAAAAAAGGCAGAAAAAGGAGGGATTTCACATCAGAAAAACGAAAAAAAAAATAGAAACAACAATCTAGTCACAATGAAACAAACATAAAGATGTTGGAGTACCATTACTTCAGCACTCCCTGGCTCCTCCCCCTTTATTGTTGTCATTATTCATCTCTCCAGGACACTCAGACAGGCTCCCTGCGGTGGTGCTGACACAATTCTGCCTGGGGGAATCCCCCAAACCAGCCCTGAGGAGCCCCAGGCGGTGTCCTGGTGAAGGGGACAGTCCCAAGGCTCCCCTGCACACAGGGAATTCCAGCACGAGGAGGAGCCGGTCCGTGCTCCAGGACACCTGGGATTCACTCAGACAGGAGTTTCCAAAATCAAGCACTTGCATTCTTCCAAAAAGACAGTTTCTCTGTGACACCAGACCAGCCCCAGTGATTCCCAAATAACCTGCTGCCTATTTATAGCCACCCCATGCATGGAATTCCAGGAAGTGCGTGCTGCTGCTCCGGAGCCAAGTTTACATAGTCCTCATAGCAGAGCATTAAGTTAAACATTAAAATCCATATTTTATGTGACAACATGGTAAGAACGCTGTTTGTAGTACAAAGAGTTTTCATTACAGATTTTGGACTTCCTAGAAATGACTGGAAACAACCTGGTAAGCATGCCCTGGTTTTTAGGGAATTAACATCTTTCTCCCTTAATATTGGCAAATCCCAAGCACCTGCCACCTCCTGCTTTAATACAGATACTCCAATACCCACTGCTCTGAAGAAAACAGATTCTGAAAAGAGGAAATACATGTTCAGTTTTCCTGTGCAGTAGAGTTTGTAGGTATTTTACTCAGGCTCTCATTAAAGATCAATATTACAAGATAGCCATCAGCAAAGGCTGATGAGGAAACACTTCATTAAGTGTTATTAGTAAAAACCAACAGAATCACTTTGAAATTCCAACTCGTGCCAAACGCCTCGCAGTGTGAAACAACTGTTCAGCCTGGGACACGGAGGTGACAAGGTGACACTCCCAAGACAAATGCACGCAAAAATGAGGTTGCAACTTGATAACTACCCGAGCTGCAAAGCCCGAAACAAAAGCCTGGGATGAAGTTCCGGTGCCCCAAAAGTCCTCAGTGTCAGAAAAAGCAGAGAAAGGGAAAGCAAAGAGGAAAAGAGGCTCAAAGGTCCCAAAGTCTGGAGCACTGTGCTTCCAGAGGTGTTCTGGGTAATAACACCCCACCCACCTGCAATCGCCTCCCTTGGCATTTTCAGATGATCAGGATGTTCCCAGCTCCCTGACCTGAAAATTGGTGGGTGCTATTTCTGGGTACTGCTAAAACAGATGCCACGTTCCAGTCCAGATGTTGCTTAATTTCAGAGCGGGCTGACATGATCCCTGTAGTGAATTTACCTGGGGTTTTAATGCCTTGAAGTAAAATACACCTTTCTCAGACACCACAACCACCCTGTGTCACTTTTCAGTACATAACCACGTGACTGAATTATTAGAGCCTGATCTACCCAGGTGGAAATGGTCTGATGAGGTCCATTACTCTAAACAAATCAGGTTATTTCCCAACTTTTCAGATCCCTGCATTCCTGGTGGGTTAACACACAGTAGTCTTTAACTGCTCCTGACTATAACCTTAAAATACTAATTAGCCATCAGAGATGTCTTTCTACACCTCAGGCTTATCAACCCCCTGATCTCATTCATATGAATAAAGCTACAATGATAATTTTATTATATTCCTTTATCATTTGATGAAAGGAATACTAAAATTAAATCCTTAGTTGGCAAGTTTCAGCAATAGTTCCCTCTCTTTATTAACTGAACTGCAATAAATCTCTTTTCATTTCTATAAACTTTCAGTTGCCACTGTCACCGCTCCTTTCTTAAGCAAAATATTTTCAGCAGCACTTCCCACTTCCCAAGCACAACCAAAATTCCATTTTCCATTTGCTAATCATGGCTATTTACTATATTTTAGCAGTGGATCTTTGCAACCTGGCTAGAAATATTTGCACTCATCTTTTCCTAAGGCTTCCCAAAAGGTGGGAATTCACAAGAGGCACTATCAGCCCATGCCCTGCTCTCCTCTCCCCTGGGCAGTGACAAGGCAGAGGTTTAATGGAATAAACACTTTTTTAGGTACACACCATCTGACCCCACCTTGCTCAGACACAGCCAGAGGTTCTGTCCCCATGGAACTGCCTTGGGAATGAAAATCACCCCCAGCAGCAACCTGAAGGTACCCGGGGTCTGTGCCCAACGATGAGGGGCACGATGGAACCACAGGACAAACCCAAATCAGCGCAGGTGGATGGTGGATTTCCCTACTGCAAATGTGCAAGTGCAGGCAGAGCACACCACACACACAGGGGGTGGTGGTTTGCAAAATACAATCGGTACCAGAATAAACAAACACCGGCTTTCCCACAACAACAGCATCGGGTTTCAGCTTCCCCGACACTTTCCCTCTCAACTTTCACTTTCACGCAGGGCTCCAGGTGTGTCACACCCAGCCCTGTGTCCCTGCTGTCCCATCAGCAGCACCACAGAGCCTGGGAACCAAACCACAGCCGAGACATCGTGCCTTGAGCTGCAGCCTCCGACGTGAGGCACTGTTGCTCCAAAATCGGCACAGCTGAGGGAAAAAAAAGTCTCTTCGCTGGCACACAGGGACAACCACAACTGGATCCTTTCTTAAACAGATTAAGCGAGCCACAGGACGTAAACAGCAATTATTCAAATTCTAAATTACTTCTCTTGCATTGCCACTGCTTATTTAAACATAAAAAAACCAAAAGCACCGGGCACCTACGCCAAGATCTGATATATTCCTGAAACGTGAGTAACAGCCAAAAAAACCTCTGGACAATGTCAGGGAGAAGACAGCCAGTTAAAGCCTTATTCCATTCATTACAGGGAAAGGGCCTCCTATTGAGCTGCCTCTGGTAATTAAAGGTAGGACACAGGAGGGCTGCAAACAGCCAGCTGCTTCATCACCCTCAGTTATCAAATGCTCCATCTGTGATGGACAAGAGGGAAGACCTGCTAGAATTGGTATTACTGCTCTACCAACAGCCTCTGGAAATATGGGAATCCATCCTTCCTCAGTCACTCAACAGACCAAATGGACAGAGGTCAAGGAGTAGCCTTGGCAGGAGGAGGGAGTTGATGCCCGAGACCCTCAAAACAGGCCTGAGCAGTTGAGAGGATGAAGAAAATAGGAACAAAATCAGTGTACAGAAATGAAAGAACAGATAGAGAGCAAATGTGTTATGACAGCTTCTGTCCCTTGTTCTGTAAGAAATTAAGGAATTACTGACAAAAAACCTCTCCAAACAAAAATGGAATAATCTTATCCTTGTAACTCCCCAAGAGAGAACAGTGAGGCACAGTGGGATGGACCCACATTCCCCAGGCAGTAGTCAGCGAGCACCACTAAGCTCCAAACATTTTGCACAATAATCTGCTCCGTGGCAGAACAGAAAAACCTGCCCTCTGCAAGCCGTGTAATTCCAGCCCGTGATGCCAAGAGAGCATTCCCACAGCAGCCCCACAGCTGCAGCTCGGGGAGGAGCACAGAGCTTGGGAAACACTTCACGTGTCCCAGCCCAAACGCGTGGCACCACGGTCATTCACGTGCAGAGCTTACACCCACCTTCACCCGCCCACCCCACGCACCCTGACAAGGGCAGCACTCCACGAGCAACTTTCCAAAGAGCTCTTGCTGAAAGTTTGCTCAGAGCCCTCAAAGCTTCCTGACCCGAGTTACAGAGCCAGCAAATACTGGAAGAAATGACCAGCCTCTTGCGTCAGGTTTGGGAAACGCTGCTCTCCAAAACAGCAGAGAAACGTTCGGTTTCTGAAGCGGCAGAGAAGCACAGTGAGCACGTGCAGAGCTGCAGCAAAAACAGCTGCACACCCCGAGAGCTGAGGAGTTGAGAGGCACACGGGATCCCAGGAACAATGGTACTCTGAGGGGAGATGAGAGGCCAGCTCGGTGGAGCGGGCGAGCAGAGGGAAGGAGGGTTTGCAGCAGCAGGACTGTGCCGAGCAGGAGGGGCTGGTGCCTCTCCAAAGCACAAACAGCTGCATTTTACTACTCGGAAAACTTGCAGAGAGGCCCCCAAATTCTTCATTTGCTCCAAGTCATCCTTGGCACTGCTCCCGCCCGGGGAGGGTGCCCAGAGCCCAGTGCAGCCCTCCCTGCCCGTGCAAACACATCCTTCCCTTCCAGCTCCCCACACCACGGGCTCGGGGAGTGCATTGCCAGGGGGAAGGGCACCTGGAGGAGCTGGGAGCTGCTCCTGCACATACTGGCAAGCAGGTGAGGGAGGCTGGGGAAGCTCTGCCATGCTACACAATATTAAGCAGAATTAAAGAGTGTAATTAGCTGGCAAATTGTTCATTAACGCTGCCTTGTGCTGTGAACACCAGGAACTATTCCAGTGACAGATCTTTTATTACCTACACTACCATTTCTCCTTCTCTCCTCTTCACTAATCTACTTATATCCTACCTTTCCTTCTGCTCAAAGAAATGTCCTACTTTTTCTCTTTCCTCTCCTCGTCAACAGCAGCTCAGACTTTTGGATATATTCAGACTTTGGGGTTTCACTCCACTTCTGTCATGACCAATCTTTCTACTGAAGTGCTTTCTTGGCAGAAGGCAATAAAGAAATACAGCTCCCAGAAAAGCCAAGCACTGTAAGAGTAGAAGTGTTCTAGCGTGCTGGGGGGATTTATATTCCCCCTAGAACTATTCCAGTGCTCCTAAGCCATCCTGGAGAATGCAGCAGCTCACACCTGTGAGTGTCCCATAAGTTGTCAGGGATGAGCGGGAGCAGCACCTTTTCCACCCAGCCAGCTCTGCTACATCAGGACCATCAGCACCATCAGCATGTTTATCTGGCCTGTGAGCCAGTGCTTTAGGTATGTGGGCTGAGGTTAAACAACAGACATGGATGGCAGGGAAATC